AGTAAATTAACCCAAGCACCTATGACCGTGAACCCAAAAAAAAAAAAAAGTTTAGGCAAAGAAAGGCTTGATTGCCCTGCTCAAGCTGCCAAGTCCTCGAATTCTTGGGAGAGACAAGTACGTGTAAGCCTTGGCAATAGGCCGGACGGACCTTGTCGGCCCATCAATCAATGGTCCATGTAGGTTCACAAGACGGCCCAAGTAATGGATCGAAACTTTCATATATTTTTTTGGGATTTTTGGAAGTCGGTATACCTAATTAGACTTATTTAACAAAAAATACATATTAAAAATATTTTAGAAAAAGTACACTAGTTAGATACAAAGACATAAATGTCCATTTTAGAGAAAGTGGTGCATTAAATATCTCCTAGTTTTATGAGAGAATTTTAATATTTAATGCATATTGATTTATGTGTATTTGTTAATGAAAAGTGTAAAATGTTACATGTTAACATTAAAAGTGTAACATTTTCACACTTTCTCAATTAATTAACATTTTTAGTGTAAGATGAGACATGTATATTCTGTTTGTATAACACTTTAGGTAATGTCTCCATTTACCTTGTGTAAATAGTTTCTTACATTGTTATTGCTACACTATTATTGTTACTTTCAATATTATCCTATAACACTTTATAATTTTCATTAAAAAAAGGTGAGACATAAAATAATATTTTACATTTTACACTTTCAATGTTACACTTTATATATATATATATATATTACTTCCTCCGTTCCTAAATATCTGTCGTTTAAAGTTTTTGCACAGGGATTAAGGAAACTTTAAATAGCTTTAGTATAAGTAAAAAACAATTACACAAGATTAAAATACTTTTATTCAATACGTATTGGGAAGAAAAAGAATATGAAAGACACTTAGCCTACACTTAATTTATTAAGTACTTATTAGAAAACAGAGATAAGGGTAAATTTGGAAGAAAAATATTAATTATGTTTTGGTTTCATAAAACGACAGATATTGTGGAACAAAAAAATTGGGTAAAACCACATACATTTAGGAACGGAGGGACTAACAAATATACATGAATCAAGGTGCATTAAATACTAAAGTTCTCCCATAAAATTAGGAGATATTTAATGCACCACTTTTCAAAGAACATACACATAGATCAATGAAGACAAAAATGTCACAAAAAATTAGGAAAATTCAAATTGTATACTTAGATACAAATAAGTATCAAAATTAAGGACTTAATAACCCTATATTTTTTAGTGTGTACTTTTTGTCAAATAAGTCTAATTTGGTATTTCCCTTACAATTTACTCTATTTTTTTTTACTTGACCCATTTTTCAATTTTTCTAGGGTCATGGTTTGTATGGAGCGATCTAGGAGCTTACCCGACGGGTGCCTTCATGGGACAAAACCCATGGCTCTATTATCTGATAGGCTGGGCCGATATATGGCCCGAAAGCCAACCGTTTACAATTAATGATTGCACTTTGCCTTACCGCCAACTTCAACTTGAACTATTAATACTCAATGAAATAGAGGAATAGTAGTGTCAAATTGTTCATCATGTATTAGCCATGAGAAGTGCTATATATAACTAGTTTTTCTTCATCATTTTGCATCATAATATACCACATTGATACTTAAAAGAACTGTGACCCTCTAGGTAACTTGTCAGGCTAGCTTGGATGAAAAATCTCTAGGGGTTACTACTTTAAGAACGAAAGATATAGTCTTGCTAGACTCGATATGATTGGTTTGAGGGAAAAAAATTAAACAAATAATCAACCAACACTTCGTTTTACAAATCTCATTCTTTCAATATGGTTCAAATCGCTACAAGTTCACCCAAGTAAGACTTAGGTGGACAAATTTAATAAATCCAATCTGTTGGTAATCCATGCTTTCCGAGTTCATTAATACTATTGGAATATAATCATTGATCTCAATTGACTGGCTTAACCTATTGTAGTCATCGGATGGATCAAATAATTGAGTTAGAAAAAGAAGAAAAAAAAATATCATTACTCTTTCAATCTAACACACACAAGAGGGTTTGTGGTTTTTGCTTGATCAATTTCCAAATTTTTTTTTACCCTTTGATTAATGCAAGTGACTTGACTTGCATTAAAAAATAAAGTGTTCTTTGAACTCACGTAAGCGTGCATACACCACACGCTTATAATGTAAAACGTCAGCTTAAAGGCTTAACTAAATTGCATTAGTAGTGATAATTAGAGATGCTGTCAAACCTAATAAGCTTTGGCGACTCCTTGAATTGCTGTAAAATATTGGCAAGTGGTAGATTTAATATTCATTTCCATAAACTCATATAGGTTGCTTAAGTGGTTCAACAAGCGTAAAATAGAAAATTCAATACGTTATAGGTTCAAATTTCAAAAAATGAGTAAAATATGTGTTTAACCACTGCATATTTAATTTTGTGTGGTTACATATAGTCGATATTGTGTTGTAATTAGGGCTAATAATTGAAACGAGTTACTCGGATTTAACTTGAATTCGACTTATATAGGACTTGACTTGAGTTTGGTTTGAGTTTAAATAATTTTTTAATCTCATTTTAAAAAAAAAAAAAAAAAAATTAAATTCAGCTCAATTATTATCCCTAGTAGTAACTATATGGCTGGCACAAAGGATGGTTGATACGATTCCATCCTAACCAACCACCCAAAAACAAAGAAGGAAATTATTCATTCCATGGTTGTGGTGTCCCTTTCTCACAGGTTCCCACGGGAGAATTCATGGCACTTGGACGGACACAAATTTTTATGTATTCATGAACTTTTTACAGCTTGACTTGTTTGTCGTTAATTGTACTCTGAAATCCTTAAATAAATTGATTTGCTTATGTATTGGGATATATGATATCTAAGTGAGTGGGGTGGGGGCTATTCTCACCCCCTTAATATCCTTCTCCACTCCCTTTAACTATCTAATCTCAATTTACTAAATTCATTCTATTTTATATTTACTTCATTAGTGATTAAGTTTATCTCGTCTATAATCATCTATTAATAATTAAATTCATCTCATTTTCTTCTCATTTATTATGCATTCTAGTCACAAACTATGTCTTTCTCTCTCAAGGTTTCGTCTTCTTTTGTTATTATTTAATCGCATATTTGTATTGTCAAGTCATATTTATAACTTTGTTACTTTTGTCCCTTTATTTGTAGTTACGTTACTATATTTTTTAGTGGTATATAAATATTATCGATTGCATTTTTATTAGCAGACATCATATAGATGATATAGTTTTGCTTGCAATAGATATTTAGGAGTAGATGGATAATATGTTAGGTTAAGTATAAAGTGTATTGATTTAATTGTGAAATAAGACACAATCGAGCTACTAAATAGATTATTTCATGGACATGTATTGTATTTTAGAGTTTTAATGTGCATTCTAAATAATATTTTTATTCTTATATGCTATATTTTGCTTGAAATTTACTATGAATATTTTCAACATTGCATAGACAATCCAGTACTGGTACAGAATTTGCTAGTGCAAACAATAAACTCAGTTATCTTAAATTCGACTCATGCTTGTGACTTTGATCAGATTTAACCTCTATCAGTGGTTGACGGGCAATTGTGGGTATCTAAAATTTATTCTGCACGATAATTTCAATTTGACTCTGTATTGAAGAAAAACTCATGCTTCTGACTCTGATCATATTTAACCTCTACCAATAATTGACGAGGGATTGTAAGTATCTGAGATTTATTCTACGCGATAAATTCAATTTGACTCTGGATTAAAGAAATTTCCCTTCATGAAAAAGAATAAGAGTTTCTTATTGCTTTATTTAGCTTTCATAGATAATGGTCATCAAATGAGAAATCATACAGGTAATTATTGTTTTGGCTTTGGGTAGGACATAAGAGTAGCCAGGACAACGTAGTCCATGACAACAACTTAACAACTACAAAAGTCAAGTAAGATGAAGAAACCTAGGGGATTACATTTCCGTGAAATTACCCAACTTCTTCCCTGAACTGTGCTTATATTTGCAATTAAGATGTGTTCTCCAAATTTTTTACTTTATTAATAAATAATTAAACTGACTTTTTTTCCTAACCGCTTGCTTTATTTGAACAAAAAAGAGCTTCGCTTCCTCTGTGTTTTCATTTCTCCGGAGCAGTGCCCTTCGATACCATTTTTGACTCTTGTTTTAGTAGTTTTAGTACTTCACTCATAGGCTCTGAATTTCTTTTGACCCTGCCTAATGCTTGTGGTTGCCTGCCTGAATGCCAATACGTTAATTTATTAGAATAGATGGTTGGTTATTGCACTACAGATCCCATCGGAAGAGACTATTTCTTTGTTTGTAACAATCACCCTGCTTGTTATTCTATCACTTCTCGTCCCGCCTGTAGTTGATTTGGCTCTTTCACCACGATCAATAGCCCAACTAGTACGGCATTTCACTCACCTTAGCGTGAGTGAGGTGATTACAAAAAAAAAAGGTACGGTTCTCATTTATTTAGAGTTTTCACATCATGGTTATTTACTCAACTTCAATAATTTATTACTAGATTGGACTCGAATACAATATTGTATCAATTAAGAGGTTAAGGTGCGTCGATTCTACTTATTGGAAAAAAAGGTTGCGTCAATTCTTGTTAAAGGCGAGACTTTACTTCATATGTCTTCGTATTTAAGAATTTAATAATTCTATTTCAGATTTCTCTTCACCCCATCTTCAAGTGTTTTTATCGCATGCTACATAATTTTAAAATTAAAATAATCAAGTGTGTATCAGTAATAGTGATTTATCCATTTGTATAAGAAAAACTAGATTCAAATTGAAATTGGATTGTCATCAAAATCCGATCAATTGACTATTTATTTATAGAAAATCATAAGCAAAAATACATAAGCTCACTCACAACCTTTTCTTTTACTTTAAAAGTATTGTTCTACTCCTAAAGCACAACCTAAGGCAAAAAAACAAAACACAAAATTCACTCAAAATTATTGAATGTTAAAAGACTTGGTCAAAGCCATAAAGCCCCAGCTGCTTTCAATATGGGCACCAACTCACCGGAAATATGGGTGGCCATGACTTTTTCAAGCCCTCCAAACAATTTCCCACCTACAAAAACTGCAGGAAACTGGGGTCGGCCATCGTTCTGGCCTTCATCTACACCGATAATTCTCAATAAATCGTCGATAATTGTAGCTTCATCTTGCTCATCAACCTCAAAAATGGTAGGGTTGACACCATGCCCTTGAAGTAAAAGTTTCACAACATGGCACATGCAGCACCCACGTCGGCCGAACACTATCACGGCATTCTCCGACACCATTTTTGTTACACTGGGGTTTGTACTGTTTGTATTGTCACCTGGCTGTGACTGATGGCCGGCGGAGCCACCGGTGGCTGTGGCGGGGGAGGGAAACCAAGTTCTGTATGGGATTGCTTGTTGCATGGTGTATTAGACAATTTAGAATGTGAATTTAGAGAGACAGAGAGGGAGGGGAGAAGGGTGTATAGCGTGGTGGTGATTATATAATTGGAGGGCAGGAGACTTTAACGTCAACGCCGGTGACGTAATCTGGGACGTCATGGTTGGCGTTAGGGACGTGTCACTACGTCAGTGATTTACTCGGTGGATTCCCTTCGGTTTGTTCTTAATTAGCGAGAGTAATGCTACGGTGTATTTATTTGGAGATCTTATTTAGAAATTTAGTGATATAATTTTAACATAATTATCAGATTAATTATGAATTTTAATGTTAGATGAAATTCTTGACCAATCTAATAGGATTTCTCAATTAGTAATACTCTCTTTGTTTATTTTATCAAACTATTCCATTAATTACCTGAATTTATTTCACAGTCCCGAACACAAATATTTATTATTTTTCAGACAAAAAGTATTGTGGGTCTGGCGTAGACTAAATCTAAAATTACGGCTCATGCATGCCCAAAATTTAGACCAAGCCCAGCTCAGATTGTCTAGCTTAGAATGTAAGACAAGCCTATCAAAACACAAAAGAAGTTAGGGTAGGTCATTCGTGCCAAATTGAGAGATTCAAGTTAGTCACGTCATGATAAGAAATTTAATCCATAACTAACGCGCAAGAAAATCTCTTTAAAACGCACATGTCACCACCTCTACAGAACTATCTCACATGTTACGAGAAAAGAGTCTCAATCTGTTAGAAGACGTCTATAAATTATAAGTCTCACCTACACAAATGAGACATCCCTCACATCTTAGCATTCTAAATCCTTTGATCAATAAAATAGTCAAACCATTTTAACTCTTCACAGTGGAGTAAGTTACTCCGACCAAACTACTTAAACTGTGTTTCGCTTGTGTTAACTCTCATATTTATTATTGCATTTAATACTTGACATGTGGTATATAAATATTTTTTATGCATCATCAGGTATCAATATATTTGAGGCAAAGTGAAACAAATACATAGTTTGAAAGGTAAAATACAATAATTTTTTGTCAAATTTACAACAAACATTAATAATTAAAATAGAGCAATGTTTTAACTAAATTTACAAAATTTAATGTAAATTTTAATAAGTTATGACTAATGAGAAAAACTTGGCTAGAAATGTCGAAGAGGCCCCCATCGAAACATACTCATGATCGTGGGCATCATATTGTTACACAATTGAAGAGACAAATTTTGAACGTATAATTTCTTCTTTAATACTGTAATTAAATTTACAAAAATTTGATAAAATTTAAATAATTTTAATTTAAATTATTAAAAAATTTGTTTTTACTAACTTTGAATACAATTTTACTTCTTTATTTTCCAAATTACATAAAAAAAAAAATTACTACCAATTTTTCAGATAGATGCCCTAAATCCAAATTATTTATTTAAAAAAGAAAGATTTTGTAATTTAATTAAAAATAATTGTGGTGGCCTGGTATGGGTAGACAAATTCAGCTCCCGATTGATGTGGGACCCACACGTAAGCAAAGATGGACGGTTTTGTCATGACATCACAGATAACCATTGAAGGGGTCTTTGTACGACATCATAACGTGGATACGACAGGTGGCAATGAGCTTATATAAATGATATCTCAAGTGGACCCAAAAATAATCTAAAAGCGTTTCATAATCAGCCACGTCAGAAAGAGGACTATATCCTTTGCTGACGTCGACGATCAAATATGTGGGTCCTACAAAGCACATTTGCGTGAGCATTTGTTTGCTGCGGTCGTTCTCTCCGACCGTGCCCACGTTTTCGTGATGGTTAAACGCTAAAAACCAACACTTTGAGAGGGAGAAATTATAAAAAATTTTTTTATAAATTTAACTATCTTGAATTTAAATTTACACAGATTTTTAGGGTAATGTGGGTCCCACAAAGCACAGTTGCGTGAGCATTTGTTTGCTGTGGTCGTCTTCGATCTTACCCACGTTTTCGTGATGATCAAACGTTAAAAACCAACAATTTGTGAGAGGGAAGCTGTAAATTTGAATTTGATTTTAAACAGTCTTTTAGGGTAATATCATAAGAAAATTATTTTTTTATGAATATTTTAACCTCGTGTGAATGGTCTATTTTTGACCAAATTAAAAAAATAATTAGTCGAAGTGCTCATAAATTGTTGATAGACCTTTACTGTTGAAAAAAAAATTAAAAACCATGTTATGAATGTTTAGCAATTTTAGATATTAATTTGTAAGTTCCATAGGCTTCTAATTAATCGTGTTAGGTGAAACGAGTTTATATCAAAAATTACTTTATTAATATCAGATTCGTTTATTAATTCGAGTATAACGAATTGAGTCAAATCGAATTCATATTATTATGAATCTTATATAACTAATAAATAAACAAGTTGTGTCGTATATTTCTTTTAATTAATTTCATTTAAATTCAATTTGTTTATTAATTGTATTGTTTTGGTTCCTCTTATTTACGTAAAGGGTTGCTTAAGAAAGACAAATTCTCTAATTTTAAATCGTGTCATATTTTGATACCCTAAAACTCCACCCAAAATTGACGTAAAATTAGAGAATTAAAGTTATATTTAGTTGATTTACATATTTAACGGGTAAGTTTATTAAGCGGATTAAACAAATAAAATTATTAAATATAATTTATATATAATATAAAGGGAAATTTGGAAACCAGTCATTTTATATGGATTTGTTTGAACTTAAGTTCGTTAATGAAACTTATTTGTTATGAAGTTTATTTTTTGTCAATTTTACCATACTATCCCTTTCTTTTAGAAGTGAAATAAAACCAAAAATTAAAAACTGCTAAATCTTAGAAATTTAACTAACTTTAAAATCTTTTCTCTCTCATATCTATTTATATTCATGTATAAGTTAAGAGTTTGACTAACATTAAAATTTTTCTTCTCTCATATATATATATATATATAGTAACATTTAAATACAAAAAAAAATTACCATTTGGACACAAAAAATAATACATTTAAACATAAAAAAATAGTAATACTTAAACATAAAAAAATTGAAACATTTAATATTAATATTTTTTAAAAATAACAATAGTAACATGTTCAACAAAAATATTAACATATTCAACAAAAATAGTAAAATACTTAACAATAACTGTAACATATTTAATAATAATTATTTCTCTCAAATTCAAACGCAAAAAATGGTACCATTCAAACACAAAAAATAGTAATATTGAATATTAATATTTAGAAAAATAATACTAGAAACATACTCAAAATAATAGTAACATGGATAACAATATACTCAACAAAAGCAGTAACAAGAACAATAACATAATAAAAAAAATAGTAACATGAAACATTTAATTTAACAAATTAACCCCCACAAATTACAAAAAATAAAAAATTAACAAGGACTAGAGATTCTTATCCATTACCCACAAAATTGACATAATTCATAGAAAATTAAAAGATGAACATTAATGAAACAACGCCACTAACTGGCCAGAGAGAGAGAGCTTTGAATTTGAATTTTAAATTTATGATGGAAATTTTAATAGCATATTTTAATTGACATTGAATTAAGGGATAACTATATCCAAAATAGGAAATTAATTTAACCACCTTTCAAAGAATGGTATTTTTGAGATAAAAAAAAAAAGTGGACTTAAGTCATTACATATAATTTTAAACATAGACTTAGCCCCTTATAAGTTTCTCTGCAGGACTTATTTTCAAATAAATACATATAGGAAAACTCACTTCCAATCTTCACTAATATAAATTTAATTTTACAAAATTATGAATGGTTGACATAAGAAATCTTAAATAGGATACAAATTCAGTACGACCATGCCATCGGTGACACGGCAAGTTAGGCAACAACGTTTGTGTAAATTAAAATATGATTCATAAAGTTTTCGTGTGTTGTGGTGTGATCTGGGGACCCACTCCACCGTGTTGCAATATAGGCCGTCCATTACAGTAACCCTTTTTTGTTTTTTTGTCCCTCCTGAATGAGGCCTTGAGATTTCATACCGATTCTATAACTCAATCTTGAAAGCATGATTCTCATTTTTTGATTAAATTGGATCGTTCACATACAAAAGTTTGATTCATAAACAATTGCAATACGACAATGTGATTCTATCCATCTCTTTGCATTGGGATTAAACTCTAATGCTTGTTTGACTTGGGTGTTCAATATTTTTTATATAAGTGTGACGAGAATACTGTGTAATGATTATAATATATTATTATTATTATATTCAATATTTTCTCGAACTTCTGGTTCTTCCTCTTAGAGTGTTCAAGTGGCTAGGGTTCATTTGCCACTCGACTATCGTTCAAACAGTCCACAAGAATTCTTTAGGAATTTTGTTGTCTATTCGGCATGTACTCCTTTTAGATTAGATTATGTTTTATACCCACTTAAATCTTTCTATTATGTTTCTTCTCTTTCTTGGAGAGTTAGGTTTAGACACATAAAATTCCAAACAAAACACTATACAACTAACCTAGAGTTAATTACATTTCGTACTCTTACACTACGGTTCGGGTATCTTTGTACCCACACAACTTCAACCTTAAGCATATTATACCCATAATTATATAAATTACGACTCTTTAGAGATTTTGTAAGCTGTCACGTTAGTTTTTGAACAAAAATAATTCACATGACTTGCTTGCACAGTTAAGAACCATATGAGGTACTAGGAGGATAACAATCGAAAACATCCTTAATCCTTCCTTATAACTTTGAAATTGAATTATAACTAACCAAAAATTCATATTTTTCATTTTAACCCTAATTTCCTTGTTATTTATAATATTATTAGTAGTAACCCGTGTCTCAAGACACGGTGCAATGTAAATAGTTTGAAAGGGATATTGATGGACGTTAGATGAATCTATTTGAGATCGTTATATGAACTTATTAAAATATATCTTATTTTATATTATAAATTTTTGTTTGTGAACTCGGTCTAGGCAATAACATAATGCATGACG